TGAACGGAAGTCCGATTCTTGGACATTTGGAATGTCTTTGAGATCGGATTCAAACCACGCGGATCACTTCTCTGGCATAAAAGTCTCCTTATTGGATGGTACCTCATTCTAGCTACAGATCACCGATGTTGATAGAAAAGTACTAGTTAACACCCTGCGTGTAGATAGCGAAATGAACGCTCAATAAAAATGCTAAGAACTTGACGAATTATAAACATCTACTTCCAAATGCTCTAAAAAGGATGGGAAAGTCAGCACAGTTGGCATGAAACAGGAACAGCTTTACTGGTGCCAGGGCAAGTAACTCTCATCTGCTACATGTTGATGTCAAATTGATAATCCGGTTCATCAAAGCGGATGAAACTGCAGCAAGAGGAGGAAGCATGGCTGAGAGGTGTTGCATCCGCATTGCTTTGCTTGCACGTTTGATACACGGCAAGCAATCGTGAGGAACTCCGGCCAAGGAACGCGCGACTATTGTGATGAACGCAATTAAACAAAATTACATCCAGGAAACAGCAAACAAATAAAAGAGTGTGTTGGCTATAAAAAAAAGCCGAATGAACGCTTCATCTATGCGAAAGTCGACGGGCCACTTACTCAAATGCTAGAGCCCCTAATCGACAACAACATAATTGAAACTATGCAGTATGAAATCATAAGACACGCAAAACGTTGCCTTTGCGAGATTCACCACACCTACGCGATTAAGGGGCAGGCTAGTTGACGCAAGAGCAATTCCATAAAATGCATCACAACTCAGGAGCTCTAGTCTAAAACTGATGGTAATGTTTTGACGAAAAGTTGTGCTACTCTCATGCGTAGATAGCTCGAAACAGCCTAGTGTTTATTCGTCGCAACTGTACAGCACCAATCTCAGTACTTCTAGAGGAGCATAAGTGACCAAAAACATGCGCTCCAATGGTAATGGAGCTTGCGATCAAGTGGACACCTCCGAATTTTTTCTCGTATTCTACGCAAATGCCTACATTATACTACTTAATCTAGAAAACCAGTGCCCACTTTTTATTTCTATCTGTCTCAGCAAGGTCTTCACTCAGGCTAATTGCGAGAGATGAATCGAGAATAAGAACATGAAGAGCTGGTGTATAATCAATCACTGTGCAGTAAAATATGCAAAACATTTTGATGTAAAATCGCATACTCTATATAGAGGTCGAAAAGGAGAAACAGCAAAAAACGATTTGTCATCAAGGGCAACTTTTTGACAGTGACCAGTAAAGACGTCAAACGGCACCAATGGAAGCTGAAATTGCTAACATCTGATACTTGTAGTAAGCAACTATAAGAATGATATGTGCTGCGCAAAGTGCGTAAAAACCGTTGACTTTTCTTGATGTGCTGTTTGAAATTTACTGAGCCAGTAGAAATACAGCGTGAATCATAAGCAGGCCACGGACATCTTAGTTTTCAGCTAGTCACAGGTTTGGTAGTCTTGTATTGTATGCAGCTAGCATAGATAAATTTCGAGAATAAAAGGTATCCCTCCGCTTTTATCATGCTTACGGTAAAAACACTAGTGAGTTGATGACTGTTTCTTTTTGGACATATCCTTTTGCATCAGTGGAGAATAAAGAAAATTGTAAAGTATCACCTTTTTGGTATAAATGCCTTTAGCAGTAGTTTTTTTCTCGTAGTTCAATAAACACGTACTATGCTGAGATCTTATGGTAGAAGCTATCGAAGGTAATCTAAAAGAATTTCTTAGGTCAGCACCCTATCAAAATAACGATCTTGTTATTTATTTATTTAATTATTTATTGTTAGAAGGGAGCAATGTAATAAATGAATTGAAAGGTCCCTACATGGGTAAAAACGTTGCAAGTTTCGTAGCTAGTGAGCAAAAATAATCATGATATTCAACAAGCTTAGCATATTGCACGTACTACTCGATTTGACTATGCCTATACAAGCATTTGTTTTGGAGGAAGTAAACTACTAGTGAGATAAATATAAACGCCGACCAAAGGAAATTGCTCAAGCTCTATCATGCTGCTTCTGTCTCATTGTCCTACAAATGCTTTCGTCTGAATGGAACCCATCGTAAAGATATGGTCACTTTCACAAATTTTTTGTTGCATTTTCATGCCTTCAATACCAAGATTTGCACTATGAAACGATTAAAGGATAATTTTTCTTCTATCAGTATAGAAAAATGATGTTGAAAACGTGTTTACTCGCCTGAGGGAGATTTCTTCCAGTGTATGTTCTTTTCTGCAAGATAGATAAGCATAATATTAGGTTGGCCAATAACAAGTTCGGTCGCTTTTGCGGCTCTTACAAATTCTGCAAAAAATTCTCTGTATAGTGTTTGGTATAACTGGAAAGAGCACATCAATGGGAATTGGAATATAAATTTTGTTTGAGTAGAACTCATTTTTCAAGGAGCAAGATCTGCAAAGAAATGAGAAACCTCAATTTTCTTAGAGTGCACAAATATGAAGAATTTTGATTTTTTGATAAAATAAATTTCAGAGTGGCAGATTACAATTTTCATTGTTATTCATCAGGGGAAACTACTCTGTATCCGAATAACAAACAGCAATTCTCTACATCCATTCCAGCATGAAAACGAAGCTTAGGAAGTCAAAGAATTGAGCTTTTGGAAATCTAGCCTTGATAAGGCATAACTGTTCTTACTGATGATAGAAAATTCTGAATATCTGATATGTGATGGAGGAAGATTTACTCTACTTTTCCACAAAAAATTCATGGTTAGAAAACAACAAGAAAAAAATTTTACTGAAGATTTGCATGCCAAAACGAACTTATTTTCTAGCCAACCTATTATTCTTGCCTATTGTAGGATTGTGACTGCGACACAAAAAACAACATGCGATGGCAGACAATCAACTAAGGAGGGTATGACGTCTATGATGTGCAGACCATACCACACTGTTTATATTCGGCAGAACTAGGTGCTAGAGCAGGACAACCGAGCAACTAAACTATAAGCAGTTGAACAATGTCCGTACTTGTGAATTCGAGACATTCCTCGTTCTGACGCGGCAATTGGTCCAGTGTACGAAAGTGTGCTCGTTTGCCGCGGGAAAACGGAAGAAATCGTGCAACGTAAGATTGCCGGATTAGTAAGGTAAGATGAGCTTAGCGCAGGCAATTGCTGGGGAATTAACATGCTACCTCAACATGGCCCCGTTGTAGGATTGGTGCGAGGGACTGGGCATGACACACTAATCGAGCTGACTCGTGCGAACCGAAGTGGTTACATGAGATTTTCATTAGAAACCGACGTGACTGAGTACATAGGCATCTCCTTTTTAGCCTAAACTGTCCCGGTTTTGATCTGCCACCCCTCCGCTACACTTCTTGCGTCTCTATCACTTCATTCATGGGTGTACACTATCACAAAACTGAGGGCTTCATACTCCATGTGGTCTCACTCAAGCAAGAAATCGATGCTTGTACCGAAAATTTAATATTTATTACAATGGATAAACTATCATAACGATCTTCATTTGATGTACGTATGCCTAGAACCTCTGTAAGAATTGTGCGTTTTATGAAAACAAGTTATCCGAAAACCGTCAGGCCCGATCAAATTACTCGGGGTAGTTGGACTTCGTTCTGATTGCTCCCAGATATTCTCAGCAGTTGATCAGCACTTCAAGACTGGGCCGGCACTTACAAATGCCAACACAATCTCGCAAAACCTCGCTTGAATTATAGTCATAACGAACGAAAATTTTTATAGAATGAACGAATATCGACTAATTGATTTGCGCAAATCTTTCGAACGAATGACTATTGAATGATTAAATTTCGAGAACTTTTCGAATGAACGAATATTCATTTTCCGATTCCATATTATTCGAATACTCGTATATGGGCACAATCCAAAATTCGAACTTCTGAGTACACGAATAAACTTGATCTATTCGACTATTCGAATAAACGAATATCTTTGAATATTCGGATGCAATATTACAATATTCGCTTGCAGTATTCGAATATTCGAACAACTGTTTTCCGAAACTTCTCGAATATTTGAATATTTGAATAACCGTCCTTCAAAATTCCCCGAATATTCAAACATTCGATTAAGCCATTTTTCCGGGTCGTTTGAATGGACGAATTATTCGAATAAAGGCCTTTTTCATTTATTTGACTATTCGAATAATCGAATAATTGGACCTTTCCATTCGAATTTTCGAACACTCGAATAATGCGAATAAATTATTCGAATAATATTCGGTTCCAACTATAGCCCGAATCTCACCATTATATATCATATATTCAGATTGAATGGTAAAAAACTAACGAAGAACGATTTGGGACCACTCTTGGTATGTGTATACGCATGAAGAACTTACCAAGCGTAAAACGTGAAACCTATAAAGATGGTGACCTTGGAAACCACAAAAGGGCATGCCACCTGGAAGTCAGTGGTAACTTGGAAAAACAAAATTATAATCATCTCTCGTCACATTAATTCTCCAATTTTTCACACTTCGATACAGAATGTTTTGGACGCGAATCAATCTCACAAGGGTGAACACCATAGATGAAAAGGTAGGAGGAATTTCGTTCCAACGGAATCCAGGGCCAAAGATATACCGAAAATTCTTCATCTCCTTGGAGAAAGGAAGTATTATAGAATACTAGCTGGCAAATCCAGCTCCGCCAAGCTTTGTAAATGATCTTAATCAGTATGCTCACTTACCGCCTGTCCCAACTCCAGCCCCGTAGGTGATATTTGCAAAAAAAAAAGCGACGAAATCGATATCGATTGACGAAAAGTAGCCTGCGACACCCGCCTCGCAGCAGCTCTGCAGCAGCTCTCACTACCACCATTTCTGCTCAAAGCAATGAATTATATGCAAAAATCACATTTTTTTCGGAAAGCAGCCAAGACAGTTCACAGAGCTAGTGATGAGCTCTGTGTGCAACGCAAATTACTGATTAAACCCGCACGATAAAGCGCGCATATATATTAAACAGCAAAGGAAGCACTTCTATTACTACCGTATCATGTTTATCGCATGATGATATATTATGACAAAAATGAGTCCAAACTTCATACAATTCATTTTTATGTTAGTGGCTAACGAAAATGTAACAAAGCATTATACAAATACATATTACACGTCCAGTATCTTTTTACGTTTTATTACTCGTCCCAGTCGTGTGACAGCTGGCGGAGAAGCTGGAGGAGACGGTGGGATGGGTGACGAAGATGAAGGTTCCTCCTTAACTTTATCAGCCCGCAACCCTCGACGCTGCCTTGGCTTTACCTATATTAGAATGAGGTCAACAAGTCTATGAAACCTGCTTCACGATTACCGTTTTCCTTAAACTGGAAGTAGTGGAGGCAGCATCAGTTTCAGGACTTGTCACATCAGTAACAGCAGGTGCAGTGGGAACATTCTAAATGTTAGTTAACAGCATAAGCATCTTTGTTCTTGAAGCAGAAGACAGTGGATTTGCATAAAGATGAACGTACACTAGGTGTTTCTGCCTCAGCAGTAGCCGCACTCTCATCTGAAGTAGCAGCAGCAGTCGGAGGTGCATTAGCAGCTGCTTCTAGGTGTTCTGTAGATTCGGTTGATGCTTCAGGCGTTCCACTGTACAGTTCCCTTTTGGGGCACAATCTGGTAGGATCCAACTTGCTTCCAGACTCCATTCTAGCGTTCCATAATTCGACAACGGCTTCGAGCATTTGCTCAGAACGGATTAGTAAGTCACATTCAAAATCCGAAAACTGAATATTCTGAAACAGCAGGCTTCAATGACATCTTGATCAAATAGTGATACTACACACCCTCATGGCCCGTCCAAGGGTGTAGATCTTGGCTCGGACTCGTTCGCGACATAATCTAAAAAGAAATCGATGCCGATTGTAAATAAGATCATGAAAAAAAAACACCTTTTTCTGTTCTCTTCCCTTTTCAGGCTTTGGAAATCTGTCAAAATCACACCACGATTTTGCTCATATTCTTCTAACATAGTCAACTCCAACTCAGTCAACTCTCCTCCTTCAAAGATAAGAATGATGCAGAAAATTCGAGGAACATTCGATAAAATAAGCAATGTAAAGATCACCTTCACCGCGTCCTTCAGTAGTGAAATCAATCCCTCCTTCTCCACTGTTTGCATGGTCATCATCGTGGGTGCCATCGGCAGGTTCGAGGTGTTCTTGTGAAGAATCATCATGATGCTCATTACTCTCGGTTCTTTCCATGATGTTTTCAGCCGCCTCATTGTCTTCCCGTTCATGATCAACGCCAGCATGATCGCTACCATTGGTGTGATCGTGCTCTTCTTCTTCAGCCGCCTTCTCTGGAAATTTCCAGGACTCTATAAATAGATTGATAGAAACGATTATGAAAATCAGAAAGCCGAATAGATAGCAAAGCTATGCCAACTTCTTTTAGCAGCAGCATCGAGCCGGCGCTGAACGGACTGTGCAACCAGCTGAACCTCCCGCGGGGTCACTGCCATAATCCTCCGTTCCAAAGCCGTTCCAGGCATACAGAAACGATGGCATTCTCCTTGATGTCAGATTGCAGCATAAACTAAGATGTTACCATCTTACACTTACTATGTAACACCATCACGATTACGGGGAGAGGAAGCTTCTTCTTGCTCATGTCATAGATCCGGTTACGGATCGCAGTAGGTAAACGGAGTCGTTCGTCGCCATGCAAGTGATAGTCACAGTAGCGAACTTCTATGGTACTAAAAAGACCTGATGCAAAACTACGGATATGAAATGATTCTACAACGAACCCGTCATTAAGGTAAGTTTTTCTGAAAAACGCCGTGCATGCTTCTTCAGTCCTCAGATACGGTTTTGTGCTGGTCTCTTTGCCAAAGGGATCCATTGGTTGGGTGATATCCTTCACAGCCTCATATGTCCCAGCCTGACGTTATTTATCGTTAGAAAACAAGTCCTTCAACATCTTACTCACATTTATGTCATCAACAATTCTCAGTGCTTTATCCTTAGCTATTGAGAAGATTCTGTTGCAGCGAAAATATTGCACAATTCCTTCTTTGATGGTTTTGTTCCCCCGAGACATTCGGAAATTCCCACCTCGACTTTCCAATTCGCGTAGAAACTCCTGTAGAATAATTCACATAACAGTGTGAAATGTATTGCGAGCAAAATACCTCAAATTGGGCCTCGTTATCGAAAACTCGTCGTTTTATGTCTGTGGGTGCTCTATGGACCTGATACATGTGTTCGCAGAGTCGCTCCAAGGTTCCGAGTCTTTCATGACACTAAAATCGATTTTGTATCGTGTATGAAATTTGCAAGATGATTCTCAGATTAAAGCTGAACGCGACGCACAACAATACAAGAATGGGACAATTTACAAAATCTACAAGACTGAGGAAGTAAAAAACGTAGAAGAAGGACGTACCCCAGGAGAACCGCAAGGAAAACGCTTTGGTGTGAAGATGTCGCATCGTCCATACTTACGGATAAGACGCCCATGATGATAGAATATCGAGCGTTTCATTGTCATTCGACATGATGGACAAAATCGCTCATCCTGAGTCTGAAACAATGGGCAGTCAAAAACGTTTCATTTACGAAAACAATCAAGGTACCTCTTTGGGATGGGAAGCCGAAAGAGAGCGAAGGTCAGACGTCCCGTACACCTCGCGCCGCATCTCCGGATATATTATTGTAGTTTGCCCCCCACCAGGTAGATTACTCACATCAACTACTCGCCCCTTGTTATCTACCCATAATGTTGATTTACGATGATCTCGCGAACTATCTTCTTCGTAAGTTTCGATATCGACTTCACCTGCCTGAAGCCAGATTTGACAAACTAATATTACAATCCACAGGTGCATCAGAATGACTCTTAGTGACAATGTTTCGACCTGAATGATCTCCAAGAGAGAAGGCTAACCTCATCAACGTCATGCGGATCCAATGACTTTTCGCTCTCATTCAGATCGCCCTGCAACAACTCAGGCATCTCCCCAGGATCACCTCGACTTGGAGCCTCAGCATTCGCTTTTTCTTCGAACGGTATCATGGCCATGACTCTAGCATTGCTTGATGACGGATTTGTGACTACGTATCTTGGCTGATCCGTAAACCGTGAATCTAAATAAATGATTTTCTTTGTGAGTATGGTAAGACATTCCTACAACGAAAGTGTACCCACCAAAAGTTACGGATCGAGCCGATTTTTGAGATCCTTGTCGAGGGCTCACCGAACCACTTTCTCCGTCCGGATAGTATCCCTAAATTTACATGATAAAAAAGGCCAAAATTCATCAAGTAAAACGGCAGATGCTATGATATCTGCACTCACCAGAGAATTTCCTGGATACTTCCGCTTGGTCGGGGTGCGGTATGGTGGGACACTCGTACCAAATATATCCATGAGTTTTTTAAAGGCTTCTTGCTTGTGCTCAGGCAGTGACTCAAAAACATCACAGACCAGCAGCTTTCTATAAAATGCCATTAAAGAGTTGTATATGATATATGTTACGAGCAGAAATACAGCCAACTTTTGGTTGGCTGAAAGCGAAGGAAAAAGTCAAATCATTTTGCACGGTCGTCTTTTCACCCCTTCACCGTACCTTGCTTCCAAATACATCACCTTTACAGGCTGAATGCAACAAGTTGCAGTGCAACAAACGACTACCGCCGCTATGACACACAACAAAGGTGCTATGTAACGAAATTATAGGGTACGCATACAATGTACAGATGCGTGAGCTCAGCCAGATATCCTTCCCATAGGCTTTAACACGCAAGAAAAACAGTAATTCGTGCGAAAACCACACCAGTGACCGTATCCGACTCCCACGATCTTGATGTGGCGCGCAAAATTTTGACGGTGACTATTTGGTGAACGGTCGCTTTTAACTTATTGCGCCTACTAGCTGCATTCGTCTTTAGCCGTCCCTGTGTTACTACATAAAAGTATTCTTTGGAAAGAACCTTTCAGCTTCGCATTCATAAAAGGTTTCTTCATAAACCATTGCAAAGAAGCACCCTTATTCGGCATTTCTTGGCTGATATGTGCTACTCAGTTGATCGAGCGCGGCAGAAGTTAGTCATTCGCATCAAGATCCGAGTAGGTCAGTGATGCAATGAAGCTTACTTTCTCTGATCCTCTCTCCAATCACCCTTAGGGTAGGAATTGCGGATGTTGATCGTTGGGGCCCGTCGAGCCACAGCCACTGGATATTTGGGGGTAAATCGCGTGTCCCTTCCAGCTGATGCTACTGGCTCTAAAAGTATCAAAAAGCTACTGGAGCTACCAGATAGATATTTGAAACTCACGAAATTCCTCGACTACAATCTGGCCTGTTTCCGCAAAATTTGGTGATTGTTCTACAAACTGCTGATGTTGAGAAGTCCCAAATCTCCTTAGGATACGGGGGGCTCTTCGTCTCTGTAATTATACTTACAGATAAATCAATTCTAACAAATGTAGGAAATTCTTGCTAACCTCCACGTTTTCAACAACGTATTCTCCGCCGCCTTTGTCGCGAAACTCCCCACTACGAGAAAGCGCTACTAGGGATTCAGCCATGTCGTCTTCCTTAACAGTCTGTACTTAGAGAAGAGTATAGACGCAAAAGAGAGCAATATTAGCTCTTTTGAGACAAACTGTACCTCCGCGTCAATGTACTCTTCAACATAGTCCCCTTCCATGACCACTTCCTCAGCCATTTCCGGGACTGGAATCCCATTGTCGTCAACGTACTCAACTTCGACTTCTGAAATTACGCAAACTAAGTCCTGCTCCTAAGGCAACTGTTATGTAGTCGCGTGCCCAATGTAGATGGATATTGTGGTCAATCGTTTAACTCCTCCTTTCTTACGAAATCTCACTGTCGTCCTTGGTTGTCGCTTACCAACCACGAACAGTTTTAAATGGAGGAGCAGCGGTGTAGAAGCCCCGCGCTGCGCGATCAAGCATTACGTTACATCGGCGTCATTTCTGCGGCATTTGACTCCAGTCGGACTGCTACAACCATCCGCATCTAACACGATAATATTCCAATTACTCCAGTGTCGGCTCAACTTCACTACTTAACTAATATTGCTTTTTCAATACGGTCTAACGCAATTTGCACGCAATACCCAAAATTTTCAAGGTAAAATCTTGGCTCATTTCGTCAACGTTCACAGAACAGCTGATCTGCTCAAAATCGACGTCGATGTATCGCTTATTAGTTATTGTTCTCACCCACTTTGTTTTGACTAAACAACTGAAGGCTGTTAAGATGCAAAGATGTGAATCTGAGTGCATTCCCATCCAACGTTTACCTTTGAGGTTCGAGGGATGACAAGTTCCAGTTTTCACGCTAGAAGTGGTTGCGTGTTAAACGATGTGTTCAACAGTAGTGCTCAAGCTCTAAAAGTTGCAATGAAAAAGGAGTTCATACGCTTTCTGACGACGTTGGGTGAGAGCGAAGTCCAACGGAAGCTACCTCGCAGAAAATAGGATCTACGACCACTGCCCCGGTGTCACAGCCGCTTTGATAAGCATTTCCTATCTACATTTTCTTTTCGTTGTTACACAAACGGTGGAATGCACCACCTCTTTACTAATATTTTGGTGATTACTTCACTTATAATTCTGTCTCAGACTAAATATACCACCGTGTCGGAATAACACAATAAACCTGCCTTCAGCTCCTTCCAGCATACTATCGTCTTCAATCAGATCGTGCTCCAAAGGAGTTTCGGTCACATCCAGCTCGAGATCATTGGGCATGGAGGCTTGGGTTTCCTCTATCGGCGTTTCCGTCTCAACTTCTACTTCGTCAGATGACTTCTGTAGTCGGCCGCGTTTCGGGTACGGCATTTAGATTCTAAGGATGAAAAGTATGCACGACAACTCTAATGCTGCAGTGAAATGCGAATTGCATACAATAGGGCTCCTTCATACCCGCAGGACCCGGCGTGCTAGGCGTGCGCCGCTGCAGTCGCAGCGCATATATACGCTCACGGCAGCACAGCTCTGCCGGTTATGGATGTATATCTATATATCTGCTGCACGTTCGTGTTCTCTAAAAGTATTCCTTCACAGGAGCGAGCTTATATTTCCGCTGCGTCCGCAGCGGCAGGACGCGGCGTGCTGCCGCGTGCTGTGGCAGGCTGCTGCATCCTGCGGCGTAGTATAAAGGAGCCCATAGTCTTTGAAGGAGGCCTGACATCACCATGATTACATGTAATTAGAAGTGGAGGGTCACACTTTCACTCAAGAGCCTATGATATGGAAACGGTCAATCAAGTAGTAAAAATCTATCGACATCGTTTGTGCTAAAGTAATAGATATGACTTGTTTTTATTCACTTCAGCTTATACTTTTCAAAAAGAGAAGCTATATGTAAGCTATAAGGCAGTGCCCTGTTTGCTTTGGACTGGGACAGAGGAGTGCGCAAGATGAGCATGTGCCTAGCAAAGCAGTCGTCCTCTTTCACAATCTCTTAATCAAAAAGCCTCACGGTGTTGGATGCGCTGGCGTGGTTCATAGGCATGGACCATACTTAATCTACTTGATCCTTCGCTATGATCAGTTTTCGTTTGAGCAATAGCGAAATGTTTGGCCGATCAAGTGGATCAGGTACGACGCGTGCCCTAGTTGCTTGTAAATAAGATCGCATCCAGATCCGAATTTGGTGGAGGTACTCAACGCACACTCGCCATGCTGCCTGCTTCCACTTTTTTAGTTTTGCCTCCCACTTCTCAACAATATGCTAACGCGCATGGGGTAAACAAATGCTACCGCATAGGCACAGGGTTTACAAAGGTCAAGCTCCGCAGATTACTGTCTTCTGGTCTTTTCGCTCTACTATTACACATGGTGTGAGGACCAGAAGTCTGCGGAGGTGGTACTTAATTCGCCTAAGTGGAGTATTCGTTCCTCTACCCGGCTTACAACGGTGAATACGCGCACCACATTCCCATCGCTCCACTAGTACAGCCTTTGCCCTTCGTCTGGCAGTAGCCTTCAGGTGGGCTAGATTGCTCGGCGTAGGCATCGCACGCACACGTGAACGAGTTGGAGGGAACGCCGCGTACGCACCGCAATTCGGCCCAGCCGTGAGGGTACGCCATCTTCAAAATTTTCTATTGCCTTTCTTGCTATTGAGCTGGAGCGCTAGGAGCTGGTATACAGGGGATCAAGTGAGCATGACTACGAAAACATAGTGGAAAAGGAAGGCTTTTGGTATCGGGACAAAGATGGGGAAGTATTTCACAGAAGTGGAGAACGGCGACCTTTATTACAGTGTATTAACTGGTTGAGCGGAGGTGGGTAGCTGATACTTTGTATGGAGATGCGACCCTTAGGCACGACAGAATTCAACAGAACTCTGTTAGTACTGACACTGCACCAGGCAAAGCTCCCCACACCCTCCTATATTCAGGAGAAAGTGCCGCTGTCGCGAGCGACCGCGGACCGACGAATTCGAAACGCACAAGCGTACCCTGATCGGCGACGCGGCAGCACGCGCAGTTTTCTCCGCCGAGCGCGACAGCAAGCACGAACTTAGTTTTTTACGCATTTTGAAGCTTCAGATGCCAATCTTAGTACGTTTGTATGTTCCGAATTCGCTTTCGACAAAGGTTTCCAAACTCGATCAGCATCAAGCAACAAACACAAAGTGGAGCAATCACAGCTTTGTAATGTTGGTGTCTAAAATTTTCAGGTACAGCCATGCGCACATATGTAGATGGTTTTGTGATTTCGTCCGCGAATCTCCAAGAAGCTTTCTCCAAGTTTGATTTCTCCGAAATATCACGCAGCGGAGAAGCATCGTTACAACTGAGGCTCAATTCCCACTAACGGATTTGGTCACTACAAAATGTCACCTTAACTGATTTCAAATGGCCGCACAGACTGAAAAGAGGCACTGAATTGCGAAATGCTTGCTCCATCTGCCGGTCAGCAAATTATGTTTGGGATCCTAATTAGAATGAGAATTAGTCAAAGTTGTACATGGTGAAAACGTGGGGTTGAGCCTCGGTGAGTGACTTCGAGGAGCAACCAAATCGAGAACATAATCGTTGAAAAGGAAAAGGCGAAATATTTATGGTGATTTGTTTCTTTGCAAATCCACCCCTACCGCGTCTGCAATGTCCTCTAGCATCAAATAATGATCGTCACAGTGAGCAGCCCATGTAAGAAAAACTGGAAAAGAAATTGAAAACTATCTTCCACGTTCTGCTATACCCCAAGCTGAAGCAGTTATGTATACACAAAGGCATGCCAGGTCGAAGTAGCTGAATGGTAATCTTCAGAACTAGTCCACTCTGAACAGACACCTGATGCGAAAATTTGTGAACTTCGGCGGACCGTCCAAGCACAGCCGCCGCGATTTTTTTTCACAAATAACGAACGGCAATTCGAACTTTTCTTCACATAACTTCGCACCCCAGTAACTGATCTGACTTTGTCATAAAGACCCTTACTGTAGTTCCAAGCCTCACACAGTACGTATTGCAGAAACTATATTTGTAGAAGTGTAGGACCACAATTGATTTCTGACCAATTCCAGCTTTTGGTGAAAACTACACCCAAAAACCAATTCGAACTTTTCTGCTTTTTACTCTTACAGACAGGTGAGACCAGAATTGGCAACAAGTTTCAGAGAAGCCGTAACTTCATCAATAACGCTATCGGTAAATTTTCCTTTCGCTTCTTAGTAATGTTAACAACTAAGTCTATAAATTAAGGCTGAAAAGGATACTTTATCGATGAACAGTCAGCACGTATAACTCCTCTAAACGGTCTTACTTTGCTTCTCACCCTTGTCATACATCTACTTGACTTTACTGATATTCCACTTTATTGTGGAACACATCACCGGTACGCTAAACGCAAATAGTGCATGCAAAGAAGTCACAAAAAACCAAGGATTCCAGTCCTGCCTTTTCTACATGCTCCAATAATCGTGCGCTTGAAAGACTGGACGAATTCGAAACACACAAGCGCACTGAAATCGGCATCTGAAGCTTCAAAGCGTAAAAAAAACCAAGTTCGTGCTCACTGTCGCGCTCGGCAGAGAAAACTGCGCGTCGCTGCCGCGTCGCCGATCAGGGTACGCTTGTGCGTTTCGAATTCGTCCCGCGGACCAGCATTGCGGTTCTGCAACTGTGCAAATAGGGCACTTTTTCTTCCATACCGTATACAGCAACATATCGCAACTCAGGACGGAGTTTGTAGATTCTGAGCCAACATGACTTCTTTATGAATAGTGACTCAGCCAGTTCAATGCAGTCGAGCCAAGCGAAAAAGTGTACAGGCTGCTGCATGACGAAGACGTAGAAGCAGTATTAGTTGAGCGGGCGCGAACGCTGCGCGCGTATCTTCACCGTTGTAAATCTGGCTCCTCATGCGCTCTGCAGCTAATGAAACCGCAGCAGCAGCCTACACGTATGAGACGCCAGACTAGCCGATCGTCTTGCTTCAGCAAGATGCGGTGCAGTCCCTGTCATTTGGTTTCACGTTGGAGGCAAACGAAGTCAGCGTGCGCGATTTCGCTACAACAAAATTCTCTCAATGGTAAGGCGTTTTTATCATTCTCTCATACTTATGGAGCTTCTTTATCATCTCTCCGAAACTACAGTTGTTGCGAACATCGCAGACGCCACTTCGATTTCCGTCCAACGTGACGCCAAACGACATCAGCTTACTAGTCGCGTCGCATTCTGCTGAAGCAGGCAGTCGGTTAGTCTGGCGCCTACCTACAGGGCTGTGCGTGATCGCGAAGGGCGGTGAGATTGCGGCCATTGCTCATAAATTAAGCTTTCTTAATTTCTTCTCCTGCCAAGCACTTTCCTGGGGCGGTACTTATTAATCTTATATATAAAGCTGAATGTCTGTTTGTCTGTCTGTATGTCTGTATGTCTGTCTGTCTGTATGTGTGTACGTACGTTCCGAATAGAAAATTCCATTTCTGAACCGATCGGGACCAAACTTAGCACACATACACTTTGGGCCCCGGCGGGTGTCATAGGCCACTTTTCGTCATCGATCGACATCGATTTTATCGATTTTTTGCAAAATTTGAGCTACGGGGCTGGGAGTTGGCACAGGGAGGTAATCGAGCATGGATCACCCCCGTGGGGTGTTGCAAAAAATCGATATCGATCGATGACGAAAAGTAGCCTATGACACCCGCCGGGGCCCGAAGTGTATGTGTGCTAAGTTTGGTCCCGATCGGTTCAGAAATGGAATTTTCTATTCGGAACATACGTACACACAGACATACAGACATACATACAGACATACAGACAGACAAACAGACATTCAGCTTTATATATAAGATAATATTATCAAAAAAAAGCTCAGATTTGCTCGCATACTGCCGTCGTGATACAATAGCGCAAAAGCATTCGAAAGTTACTTGCAACTGGGAGGCAACATGAACCAAAAAAGCTTTGCATGTGAGATACCTGGTATCATAGCGCTTGTCATCCGAATCGTATCCGAATGCATCGAGATATTAGCCGCATATGTCGCGTTTACTTCGCGTGCGACCACTTTCCTGCTGTGCGGCCGTTTGGGATCCGAACCGAATTAGGAGCAAGTATGGCACCATTCATGACGGGATGTATAATAATCTATGCTAAGATGATGGTGAGTACTAAGGCATATGCAGTTCACTGTTGAAGGCTGAGACTAGCTACTAGCTTCATTTCCAAAGCGTTTGAGGCTTCGAAGGTCATCCGGAGATGTGCATCAATAGTGTAGGAGCATGGTAAGCATGAGAAAGTGATACTGGTTAAGGAAAGCCTTTCACACTAAGGGTGAATGTGAAAATATTGCTCTATGAGAAATGACTGAATTGCATATCTATTACTGTATACTGCACCGCCCCTGACCACAGATGCCACAGCAAAGCAACTACTTACAACCAATTTACCCGCCCAATGCACGTCACTCATTTTTCCCTCTACAACTTCTCTTCTTCTCTCCTTATCTAACTCATTTTTCCCTCTACAACTTCTCTTCTTCTCTCCTAAGTTCAAGTAATTTTGATGAAGTAGGATGAAGCATGGAATTATCTTCGGAGCAAGACAACGACCCAGAGATACGCGAATGAGATGATCACAATCTTCCGTATGAAGCGAATTTAAGCAACATCTGAGGCAATCTCCAAAGGAAGTTAACGGCATCCAGAAAGAAAAATAATGCATACAAAAGGAGTTAAGCATTCGATCGTAAAAGGCGCCAAAGGAGAGCCGTGTGCGTGTGCCCCAACGCTATCCGACGAACCTCGGCTGCGGGCGGCTGCGTCGCGATCATTCTGCTACCTCGCCCATCCCGTCCAAAAATGCTCCACAAGGGTGCGATGAGCATGTCTAGATTTTATTAGTTCACTCGCGAGGTTTTTGGTTGATCATTTTCGAGGATTAGTTGACACTAAACGGTTGTTTGCGAGTAATTTTTGACTTTCGTGAATTATGATGACTTGTCAGTTAGTGGTCAATACTCATGCTCATCGCATGTAGCGTGCAAATGCGTGTCGTCCGGACGTCACACAACAGATTGCCCTTCCCCTAGCAGACCTTAAAGAGTACACTTTCATTGCTGAAATCGATACACCTCCAAATAGCCTCATTTGAACCCTTCTTTGGATTCCCCCTGATCTTTAGTAAGCTACTTTTTATTTAATAAAGCCTAACTCGCAGCTTACCAACCTCGAAAATCTAGAATCCCAGATCGTTGGCCGTAGGTCGTACCAAGTCGTTAGAACTCTATGAAGTGAGTGGTTAGCAAGCAATAAGCTGCTGCTTCCTCTTCTCCTGCTGCCGGGATATCTACCGTAGCTAGCGTTGCGGGATGACAAGATGATAGCAAAGAGGTGTATGGCCGATATAAAGGAAAAAGGCAGTCACATTTTTGATCGCATTTGCTATCAGTTATGTGATAGGCGGCACGTCGCGAAGGATAGGCCCCGGTCAGACTTCGCTCGAAAGCGCCCAAAAGGGCCCAAATTTCTTAAACTCTCTTCATTTCTTTCATCTCTCCTACACACGGGAAAGTGAAGAGACGTTTAAGAAAATTCGGGCGCTTTTTAGCGTTATTGGGTGCTTTTGAGCGAAAGCTTGGCCGGGGCCGTAATGATTACTGTGTGCGTCAGCTCACCAGAGCTTTGTGCATAAAGTGGATCTGCGCGTAAAAAGTTGACAGGGCCAGGCACGCGTTGGTTTGGAGGTTTTTAGGAAACGAAGTCCCCCATGACTTCGCGAAATTTTACGAAGTCCCTCTCGACGTGAAAATCAGTAGGGAAGCCCTTATTCAACCAAAATAGCAACAAGAAAGCGGAAAAAGCGCATTTTAAGGTATGCAATATAACAAAAAAGCAAAAAGAAAACATTTCGAGTCGATTAAAGGCTCTGCCATTGGGTATAGTACCATTTTGATGCTGGGCACTACTTTTGACTCAAAAAAGGGGAGAGGCAACGGTTTGATCCGCTCTCTTCACTATTTGATAGATTTTTGACGTTCTAATCATCCAAATCAAAAAGGTACAAAACTTATGTGAACTCTCCGAAATTTATGCTCCGAACCAACCCAGTTGGTTTGGTAGTTGGTCTAGAAACCAATAAATTCGAGAACGGTATTAGGACGCATAAGTTTTGGGAACTTTTTACATAACATAGTTTGGGGTAATATTGTATACACATAGCCCAAATTCGGAGCCATGTGATTGTTTGTGCGCTGTAAACAAGCCATTTGTTTGTTTGAGTCTTGCATTTGAAATTCGCGCGCTTGCGAAAGAACACGTTCAACTCGTGAAACCTGACATGTTCGTCGTGTTTTTTTTTGGCGCTTCCTCCAGGTCCTCATAAAAACGATGTCCCCGTTGCTTCTAACTCCAAAAACGAAGTCCAGTTTGACCCCAAACCATCGGTGCCGGATCCTGGTTGAAACCACAGTTTACTGCTTTGTCCTCTCATGGCTGAGTTTGAGCTGAAGCTCAGCTCGACATGAAATGGAGGGAGTGGCGCAGAGGCGGAACAAATTGGAAGCGGAGATCAGCGCAAATATTGCTATACTTATTTTTGAACAAGTACTTCTGTTCTTAGTTGTTCTATATTTGATTGTATTTTGATCTTTTATGTTATAACACTGATTATTCTCATATAGTTCACTTAAGTACCGTATAGCCAATAAATGTTTTCTGATACGATTTACTACGTATTGAAGTGGTCCTCGGCCACTTTTTATACTTTAACCTGTCAAGTCTAACGAGTTAGCTATTCTCGGGACTTTATCCCTCTACCCTGTTGTATTACATCTTAACAGAACAGTTCTTGACTAGATGATTTTATCATTATCTTATATATAAAGCTGAATGTCTGTTTATCTGTCTGTCTGTCTGTCTGTACGTATGTTCCGAATAGAAAATTCCATTTCTGAACCGATCCGGACCAAACTTGGCAAACATACACTTCGGGTCCCGGCGGGTGTCATAGGGTACTTTTCGTCATCGATCGATAAAACCGGGGCCCGAAGCGTATGTGTGCCAAGTTTGGTCCGGATCGGTTAAGAAATGGAATTTTCTATTCGGAACATACGGCGGAGCTGGGTAAGCCAGCTAGTATTATATATATCAAAATGGGGGACATTAATGGGGAGGGGACCACCGAGCACCCGGGAGGTGCCAGCTCATCTGGAGATTCTGGGCACCGCCCAGTTCGTAGGGACTGTCGGACCATCTAATTAGTCTGCGTCTCGACATGTCCATTTCATAGCAAAGGTCGTCCCGAGCTTTCATCGTTGACCATGGCTAAAGAGTAGGAAATCGTCATCAATACTGCCCATATACCATTTGTTTCGCGGCGGCTGCGATTGAGTGCAGGAAAGTATGGTTGAAACCATTATCGTCATCAAGATAACCCATAAACCATTTGGTGTTGTTGCTTCGGTTGAACGCAGGGTTTGTGCTGTTGATCGCTCAGTAGGTTTCGTTGCTGGATCGCTCTTCGCGAATGAGGACAGGGGAAAAGGGTTTATTAGAAAGGCACGGCACTCGCATGTCAAGTCCAGGAGGTGCACTCTCCCGACTTGAATCCTTCACCCTGGTTGTTCTGCTTTACATGAACATAACGTTATGACTAGAATCTTTATTATATATATTTATAGATACTAACAAGGGAAGTCACTTAACTTAGGTCGGGCTTTTGAAATGAGACACACATGGTTGGAATCAGCTTGAAACGCTGATTTCAAATCTGCTTTCCTTAGCTGCGAAGCGTTCCTCTGAAGCGAGTTATGAGCATTTTTCTGAGCAAATTTTGCGTGTTGACCGACTTAGGCATGCTACGGTATCATCATCTATGTAGTGGTTCAAATGCATATTATACCCCTATCAAAGCCAAATGACTCAATTCGATGTTATTTTGATTTTCCACCACTTTTGAGCAGATTCTTATTCAGAAAACTTCTTTTCATATTCACTTGTATGTCAATGATACACACTAAAAAAGCTCATAACTCACTTCAGAGAAACGCTTCGCAGCTAAGAAAAGCAGATTTGAAATCGGCGTTTCAAGCTGATTCCAACCATATGTGTCTCATTTCAAAAGCCCGACCTAAGTTAAGTGACTTCCCTTGTAAGAGAGGGGAAGGGAAACCGCCGGTCACCCGGTTAGGCACAGCTCAGAGATTCTGGGCACCGCCCAGTTCGTGGGGACTGTCGGACCATCTAATTAGTCTGCGTCTCGACAAACCAAATTGCTTAGATGATACTTCTTTGTTACACTTTTTTGGCTGCAGTAATCTTTTAAATTCTGTACTCTTCTCTTGTGTGGAATTAATTCAATCCGATCTATTTTTGTGAATGCCAACATCCTTTGCGGCATATTGTGGCGATATAACTGATGAAGAGGAATGCTTAATTTGCGTTTCCTTGGAATTCCCTGAGCTGAATTGCCAGAAATCCTCCAAAAGCATTTTTCTAGTTTTTTTCCTTTTCGTGACATTTATTCGACCGAGCAATTGATTAGTTGTCTTTATGGATAACTGTTTTGATTTTCTACGAAATTCTGTTTTTTTGCGATCAAGACCTATGCTGGTTAACGAGCTTTTCTTTCAAATTTTTAGAGCAAGCTCTCATATGTTTCTTATAATCTAGATAGTTTCGACTACTTTCGATAGAGAAAATAGCAAACATTCGTATTATGGATTCTTATGAAAGTCAAAGCTAAAATTTAAGTCCCAGAAACCCAAGAAACTAGAAGAAATTGGATCTCGGGTCAAAAAGATCTTTGGAGTCTTTCCTCAAGCGTATGCTCATCCATCAGCATTTGTTCATACATTTGCTCCATTTTTCCCTCGCTAGAAACCATGGGAACCGAAAAAAAATTGCATTTGCTAAAGCAGTTCTAAGCCACTTACACAGTGTATTCCTATACTACTATTCTTGAAAGTACAGCTGTAACTTGAGCTTTCTTCAAGAGTTTTGACAAATATCAAATTTGGCATAAGAATCCCGGAAAAGGGGGGGGGTGTTTGTCGAAAATTTTGCTTTGCAGGGTCAAAAATGTACGGTTGCTTTTCCAAGTTTTGCGGTACGAAATAATTTACGTAGGAGCTGTCAAGCATTGTTCCAGCAAAAGTTTAAAAACTTTTGTTTTTGCGGTTCTAAAGAAGGGGAAAATTCTGCATGTCTATATAGATATTGATTCGGAGGGTATATGTTATGCAAGTGAGAAACGTTCTGATTTGTCAGTTTTCTGGGCATTTAGAATATTTACATTATAGCTCCAAATTCCATGGCAAAACTGGTGCGAATGTTCAAGGGCTCAATACTCTGGACTACTACTGTCTTCCTAAGTAAAAAGGTATGTAAATAATTCAAGAATCATAGGATTCCTATCATACTCTAGATTTGTACAGAACATAAGGGTGCCTTCATTCCGGCCGGCAGCCGCCGCTAGCCGCCTTTGCGCACTATGCCAGTATCCGGGCCGTAATATCGGAACCATGAACCTTGCTTAAACATGGTTTAGTGAGGTTATTCGGCAAGCTGATTACAAATAGTATAATTTTTTAACGTTCCGCAAAGGCCTTGGAATACTGGGCTAGTGCGCAAAAGCGGCTACAGGCGGCTAGCGGCGGCTGCCGGCGCGGTATGAAGGCACCCTCAATTGTGCATTCAGGTGTATACTCGACAAGTCAAATAATCACTGATAACGTTTAGTGGCATGCAAACAGACTAAAATCCTTGTGGGGACATCATTCTAACAATGGAGGATTATTTCACCTTTAAAGTACGAAAAGACATAAAAATGGACTTTTATTTAAGTTTATGTGATAAATTACGTGTGCGTATCTCATTACTGGCCATAAGAATAGGAAGTGACTGTTAGACCTTCATCATAGAATATTGATGTGTGGAACATAAGCTAAATATAATTGAGCTGCACTGGAGATCACCATTTCAGCAGTTTGGCTTCTGTTTTTTCGGAACTTGTCTCTCCGAAGAATTGATTTATGTGGTGTAAATCATTTACCGATGTATTGCATGATGTATCGCACAGAGTTGCAAGCTAGTGTTGACCACTTATGAATATTTACATACTTAATACAACAACAAGCATGCTCTAATGTAAGCACCATCGACTGTTTTCGACCGGCCATTAAATAGTTACTCGTTTTTTCTGCAGATCGGCTATAGCTGCCTTTGTGACTTCTGTAAAGGTCTCATTGGGGTGGTCTAAGAAGTACACCGTCGATCCTGACGTTGGATTGAAACCAAGTGATTGGAGAGCTGCTTTCTTCATCTTGAAGGTCTCTTAAAAGCGCGGAAGTAGACCTGTCTGAAAAATTCCCTTAGTCTTACCTGTTTTGTCTATGTCGTCCGTTATTCTTACAAAGCAAGGTACAGCGTAGGGTGGAAGTGAGGAAGTGAATCGCTTATATAGTACGGTCAGCAATATTTTAGTGACTACACCCGGACTTGGGGTAATTGCTACCATTCCTGCTTTGCCTTCACAGTCTATAATAAACAACATACCATACGTAATATGTCATGGTGCTAAGTGCATTACCATCAGTACCTGGAACTTCGACGCCGTAAACAGTGCAGTCTTGTATGCCAGCAAGTCCTTGCAACACTGCTTCCACCTGAGTTGTCGACACGTTCTCGCCCTTCCACCTATTTGCGATCGTCATTATATTTCTTGTGTAGTGTGGGTTCTGCGGTTGATAAGAAGCCAGGATAAAGGTAGTGCATGCATGACCAACAAGTTTCGGCCAATGAGTTTTTGAAGTTTATGAAGTTCATTTACACCATCAAAAACAAATACTAGTTGTTTTTGATTTCTTTTTCATGGAAAGGAAATATTAAGCAAGTGAGCGGACAAGACAAAGGTACAGGCGACATTCGTACCACCGCGAATTCTCGGGTGCTCGGTCATGAAGGTGACATCTCAACTGGCTTTATGTCTGATTTTTATACATAGACAGAAATAGCCACAATAGTTCTGTCCATATTTGGGAAGTTAATCATCTTTAGATGAACGTCATCAAGCGCTGTGATAACGAGGGAGGATACTTGATGACCGTGATCATTAGTAATGAGAAGCAGATAAACAGATGCGTCTTGGAACGCTATTACAAACCTCCTATCGCTACATGCTAATCGATTGTCTGAAATAAGTTATGAGTTTTCCCCCTTAATTTTTGCACACTTAAAACTTGTCAGAATCACTGATGTCCGAGTTCCTTAAGGGTAAAGGTAACGAGACAGGGAACAAGTTTAAAGTAATTGCTCATCTTCAAATATCGTTCTGAGGAGCGAAGCAAGAAATTCGAGCATGTTCATAGTTTGCTTTCATTTGCTTGGAAACAATACGGATTATTTTGGAAAGTTCATAACTTATTTCACAGACAACCGATTACCGCATACCATGAGCAGATTTGAAATCAGGCTTCAAGACGCCTAGTGTGCCTATATGTCTTTTTACGAATGGCCACGGTCACCAGGTGTTCTTTTGTGAGCTGCATATTTCAGCTCGATAAGACAGAAGATGAATTGTTCCTCAAAAAAGGTCTAATCTCTTTAGAAAGTAAAAGCTGGGTTGTGCTGAAACCGCATATATACACAAAAGAATTTACCTGAACGTATCTCCTACTCTATCTTTGAAGTAGAAGTATCCGAGCCGGTCCCAGTATAGTATATCACCTAACAATATATTTTGAAAAGCTGTACTCGCTGCTGCCAGAGATACCTGACAAAAAGACTGGATCGGATCCTGGTAATGGTTCTTCGATAACCTTTTTCTGGGTTTCTGCTTCATCCACATAGCCCTCGAAGTGATAGAGTGGGTTATTTTTACGGATTGTGCAAGCGAGTAGACCGGATTCACCTTAGCAAACTTATTCAAAATTTAAGCCATGATGGGCTCACTAGATCGAGCTATCTACCTGGCCGGATAGGTATGCAATATCCACGGTCGTCTCTGATCAGCTCGCCTGTTGCTTCGTCAACTTTGAAAAGCCGAATGGGGTATATTGGGGCAGCGATACTCATTATAGTCATAAATCCGCAAGAACCTTCTTTCCCATCAATGTTAACTTCAAAGAACTATCGTAAGTTTACATTTATGTAACTTTCTCAAAAGATTTACTGAGGTTAGAAGTTCCTTCGGTTGAACCGTAAAATTCGGCTATCCGCTCAACTTTGAATCTTTCTTGAAATTGCTTCCATATTGCTGGTCTAGAGTTTGGCGAATTAAACGCTCTTTGTTCATGAGAGATTGCTCTCTGATCACCTCAATCCGTTTCCTATTAGCAATCGGACACAGTGATTTTCTTCATATGGTGACTTTTCAGTCAGAAGTAAGTATCGAAGAAGTTCCCCAATATATTGCGATACCTAAAATAGTTTCCTACCGATGCTCTCTACTATTACGAAGCCGATTCTAAAACAAGAGTATCGAAAAAATCCTTGATTTACAGCAATGTGTTCCAAGCAGCAAAACAACGACACTCACTGTGCATTTGTTTATCACACAATCCTTCCAGAAATTCCGCGCGGAAAATTTGTCTCTTATGACACATGTTGCTCCATGTATCACCGTTTGTCCAACTCCTGTAGAGAAGGTGAATTTTATTTTCGTCAATATTTAAGTCCTAGCACTATTCTGAGTCTTTGGAGGACATGTTTTTTTTATCACGATTATTCCACGAGTCTAGAAACAAACCGAGCACTCCTGCTGATGTATGGTAGAGCGGAAGGCAAATGTAAATCCTGTCCGTTTTAGGCCGTACTCCAAATGCTACCTCTCCACTTGTAGCTATGTAAAAAAACCTGCAAATGTCTTCTCGAAATAATATGCCGATAAATTAAGTGAACAGCGAGCTCGACCTGAAGTGCTTGATAATCGCCGGCTTTGGCATCCCCGTTGTCCCAGATGTAAATATGTAGCACAGTGGATCTGAAGTGACTCTGAGAGCAAGATAGATGTTTTGAGGAAAAGCTGGTACCTTGGAAGGTCATCTCTCGCGTTGCTATGGGCTGTGAAGTCTGCTGTGTCCTCAAGAGATCGTCAGTGCATTTAACGTACGGTTTTAGTGCAGTTCCTCCGCTAAAAATCAGCGTTCGTGTCTGCATCCCCTCGTTTTCCACGGTTTCGACTATTTCTGAATAATCCATATTATAAAATGGGCAAGAGATCATGTAGTCTTGTCCCACTTTGTTGATAGGGCGCTGAGCAGACTATAACAGATGCTTTAGAGATCTTCAGTGAGTGCGTCAGAGACTCTCCTTGGAGATTTGTATTAATCCAGGCAGAAATGGCGCCTATCTATGAGTATCAGTCAAACCGATGGCCGTATTCATTAACGAACCCAGTGGGTTTCAGTTCCGTTTGTTCGCGAATCCACTGGGTAGGGTCGATATTCACAAGTGCTGCGATAGGTTACTGCCCTGGTCCACTAGTCTCTTGGATACCGGTCTCGGGTTGAGCCTACCCTTTCGGTTCCGAAACCCACTGGGTTCGGTGATGTTGCAGCTAATCGACTACCAACGACGTAAGCATTTCAAACCTTTGCGCACCCGAGCCAGGCTGCCACGAAATGTGTTCCATTCTCCATGCATATAGCAACAACATCACCAGCTTGTACGGACGAATTATTCTAAAACCACTGCTTGAGAGCGAAACTTCAGAAGGGACTACCTCAAGCCACAGCTCACCTGCAGCATATGACCATATTGACATGCGAGTTCGTCCAGCTCCTTGAACGTGAATGACTTTCCGAGGGTCATATCATAAATAGCTTCCTAATAGAAAAATACTAGCCAGTGCGATCCGAGACTCCACTTCGGCTAACCTTCTCCGAATTTCTCCGCACAGTGTCCAAAAACAAGGATTGTATACCTCGATTTTTCCAAAAAGCACGAGAACAACGTAGTCGCATTTTGATCAGAATCATAAGTCCTCTGAAAGCTTGCGCTGTCGTAATTTTAGTACAGATGGATAGCCTCACCTCACCTGATGTCTCTATTGGTTGTTTCTGACAGCCTTTTGAAATATCCTGATTTTCTCGGGAGTATTACGAATATAATAACTAACGAAGTGACTGTCATTATAACTAGAACTGCTGCAACAATAAGCAGCCATGGTGCCATGCCTGTAATTGTTGCAAATGTATTGATTGACAGATACAGTGGTAGTATAATTGAAGGTGAGGTGCATATGCGAATTCTTCACAATAACTGGTATGCGATGTTCAGAACTTTTTGCGCAAATTATGAGGGTCATTGTCTTGGCAGCCATCAATATCGTGGCTTAAGTTGATATCAAAGAAATGATGATTTAGGGTGGAGTAATCAAGACATACACTGGCATTCAATGGCGCTGTGGAGATTTTGCATAATTACCGGGACATTTAACAGCACAACAGGTTCTCGTTAGGACATATATGTTAAGAATTGTAAGAAATCAAACAAGTCAATGTTTTTTGCATAAATTACCGGGACATTAAAACAGCACAACAGGTTCTCATTAGAATCAACATGTTAAGAATTGTAAGAAATCAAACAAGTCAATGTTTCAACTCACCACGACTTTCAGCACGTAAGACGTTGCAAGTCTGATCGTACAAGTTTTGCCGTCAATTTAGCGACTCGGTTGGAGATTGAATAAACTAAAAAGTCCAGTGGCGTACCAGCAATACTGTCGTAACGAATACCAAAATTGAGTGGTCTGTATGTTTTCAGTGTTATTTCGTATAGAACTTGAGAAACACGTGACTAGTTTGTCACACTGCGAAGGATCCCATTATCAAGGAGTATACACTTCTGAATTAAACAAATATTCTATTTGCGCTCTGGAAATGGAAAGAATCAGCAAACCAAGGTCGCAGACCGATGTGTAAAAACGACTATTGTCTGGGACGACTGCGGCAAAGAGACTAATTGTTGTCGTTCGCTGGTGCTGCAGATATTTTAGAAGTAATTTTCCAGGGACAAAGGTTGAAAGTTCAAAAAGTGTTCTGATTGCGGCCTCACTGCATACACTTATCCATATAAAGGGCGTTGGAGAATATCTAGATACATTATGAGGCAAGTGGAAGTTCCCACCAAAGCAAGCAGCTTTCCTCAAAGACGAGCAGAACAGTTGAAGAAGAACAAGAGTGTGACATCATTCTAATGCATTGATGCGCTTATTGGTACCCTTTCATGATGAATGCTCTCAGTGCCCATTTAGTATCGAGCAAAGTGCCCAGTGGAACCTTACCGCATTTAAGGTTAGGTGATAGGTTCAAGATTGTTTAAGAGAAAAGCTCTGAGAACGTTGACATTCGCTGGGTTAATTCAATGTTCACAACTTTCCCCGTCTTCAAGAGCTGTAATAAGTCAATTGGACACTTCTTCAACAGATGCAAAATGAAGGAGGAGACCATAAAGATTGGTTTTGAAATTCTCATGGCAATGAACTTATCATACATTCTCCAGCCACAAATTTAAGGTCAACAGCGGCCTTGCATTTGAACAGAGATCTCCAACATAAACGAGAAATATTTGCTTGGGTAACTTTAAGTGATCTGGTGCAAAGCAATGCATGTAATCGATACGTCCAATTTTGAACTGTAACAAACAGAGGTAGGCAGCAAGTGGAAGAAAAACTTTAGCAATTCACATTTGCTGGGTACAATGCAGAAAAAAAGGTACTTGGTTCTCAAAACGTCATCGAATGAGCTATGTTGAATTAGTTTGAAGTTTCGGCTTTTTTCTTTTCCTCTGTAGATTCAGTGAATCACCAAAGAAAGAACATCGTCATCCCGGTCTTGTAAAATGCACTGTTGGTGTCTCTACTCAGCGCTACCAATTTTTTGATATTTGGTTGAGGAAGAAGTCGCAAGCATTAAAGTATATGTGAACATGTCTATATCAGCGAGAGTTCAGTGAAGTATGAATAGGATCAATGATTTGATAGATACGTTCTCAAAGAGAATCATCCTATCCGACAAAAGAACAAGCTTGCGCAGCGTTCTCTATCCCTCTATACCGGTCTGCAACGCAGAGCTAGCGAGCGAGGCTGGATATTATCGCGGATCGCGCAAGCTCAGTCCATGATGGGCCATCTTGGAGAATTCCAGAAGAGGCAGCAAAATGAAAAATTCCTGTCGAATGCAACTCGTCAGCTTTGTTGACATAAACCTATTGTTATAGAAATGTTTAAGAAGATAATCTCTTTAACCCTATTACAAAAAACTTAGGTGAAGTAATTTTTCATTTAATTCTAGGTACGTTAGCACCTTGCTCAATGCACTGATTATGATGTAACATTCAAAAATATGACAACATGCGCTTCCTTACCAAAAAAAACCTTTATGAATTGAGTTCAAAATTTAATTTTTGACGTAACGATCTTCATTTGTTTTACAAACAGTATTATTTCTTCAAAATTGACTGACTTTGAGCCGAAAGTCCATATACTGAGTGCAGATGGCGATCCGCAGGTACGCGAAAAACGATCGAATTCCAATGCAATTAATTTGTGATATTCCCCATCGCATTTTCTCTTAACATCCACGCATTGATTTTTTTGGATTTCTATCTATATTATACAGATAGACATAAAAAATTCCAAAAAAAATTCACGTATGCGATTTAGTTGTCCTCTTTCTTTGCCTTGTACTTTTGGATAGAAGATGTACGTCTAGAATCAAGCTACGCTTGTGTATGGCATCGCCTTTTCTTCAGGTGAATAACTTCGTGACTCCTTAACTTCCTTGCACTTCCTTACCACACTCATTTGCTCAGGTGATAATTCACTTTCGATCCTCATGACCGCTCTCTCTTTGGGACCTAACAAAATTAGTCCAAAGTTGATGCTAGCTCACTGAAATCCCACTCATGTAGTTTATTCGTACTATTGTTATGAAAATGTTTTTTGATTGTTTCCTATATGGCAGCATATATGATTCAGCAAATGCGCCATACAGAACTGTAGATTTTCGGCACAATGTAAATAATTGGTCGCTATGGTGCCTTCAAAACTTTATGATTTATATATAAATTCAGGTTGAAGCCAGTTCTACAAAGTGGTACGTAGAGCTTCTCGAAGAACTACATAACAAAAGAGTTAGCGATCAGTAATCACATTTTTTGGCACACCCTGCGTATATGACATACAGGGTGTCCCAAAAAAATGTGAACACTGTTTGATTTACCCTCTTGCTTTCAAGTCTTTCACGGAGATTAAGGTACCATTCTGTAAAGCGAGGATCAACTTAAACTTACAGCATGCAACAAACTTCCGATCTCCCTTCGTTACTGTAAGACTACGGTAAAAACTTTCAGCATATAACGCTAATGTGGAATAGGCACTTCAAAGAAAAAAATTCCAAAAAATCCAGAAATTTGTGTAGCAAGGTTTTTGGGCGTGCTGATCTCACTACATAACTTTTTTCAGTTTTTGAGCTTTTTCTAGTAGTGTTATCACACTTCCGACGATCACTGGAAAAACAATCACTACCATAAACCCAAAATCTTATATACAGAGTGTCCCGAAAAGATGTGCACACTGTTTGATCGTTGATAACTCTTTTGCTTTCACGCCTTTTGCCGAGCTTGAAGTAACATTCTGTAGAGCGAGGTTCAACTTAGATTTACAGTATGGAGCGAATCACCAATCGCTTCTCATTGCTGTAGGATTACGGTATGAAATATCAGCATACAGCGTCACTGTGGCATAGGTCTTTAGATGAAATATGTCCAAAAAAATCTGAAAATTTGTGTAGCAAGGTTTTCAGGCGTGCTGATTTCAGTACAGAGCTTTTTACCAGTTTTTTGAGCTTTTTTGATGGCATGTTCATATTTCTGACGAACATTGGAAAAACAGTTGTTACCCTAAATCTGAAGTAACTCATGAAAGAAGCATTGTACTGAAGTGCAGATTTCATATTAAAAATCAGCGCCTTCAATTAGCACAGATCAAGATTTTCCGGCTTGTTTGGCTTTTTTCTGGGGCAAAATACCGCATTCAATGGCATAAAATCCTTCTCGAATTTCCTACCGTAATTCTACAGTAGTGTAGAGCCACTGATAATCCGCTCCATATAATATAATAAATCTAAGTTGAACCTCGCTCTACAAAATGGTACCTCAAGCTCGGCAAAAGACTTGAAAGCAAGAGAGTTATTAGCGATCAAACAGTGTGCACATCTTTTTGGGATACCCAGTATAAAGCTGAATGTCTGTATGTCTGTACGTATGTGCGGAATAGAAATTTTTATTTCTGAAACGATCGGGACCAAACTTGGCACACATATACTTCGGGGCAGGGAGCGTGTCATAGGCTACTTTTCGTTATCGATCGATATCGATTTTACCGATTTTTTGCAAAATTTGAGCTACAGGGCTGGGAGTTGAGACAGGGGGGTAATCGAGCATGCTGATTACAAATATATTATTGACAGGCCCGGGCGGAGCCGGGTTTGCCAACTAGTAACTCATAAAAGAAGCATTACAGTGCAACTTTCATGTTTATAATCAGCGACTTTGATTAGTCTAAAAGAGTTTCTGGCTTGTTTGGCTTTCCTTCTGAGGCAAAAATCGCTTCCACTTCTCAAAATCCTTCTCAAAGTTCATACCGTAATCTTAAGTAATAAAGAGAGATTGATAACACGGTCCAAAGTGTAACTGTAAATCTCACAATAAGTTGAACCTCGCACTACAGAATGGCACCTCAGGCTCGGCGAAAGACGTGAAAGCAAGAGAGTTATTAGCGATCAAACGGTGTTCACATTTTTTCGGCACACCCTGTCACATCTTTTTCGCAGAGAATCGCGCTGCTTTCCCTATATGCCTTCTTCCTGCTCGCATATTGCCTGTCTGAAACGTAACGGGAAGTGCCGTTACAAATGATGGATAGACTCGCTTCAAAATCTTCGTGTTATTTCACTGCTTTTTCTTTTATATGTGCATTGAGTTGGTTTTCATCTTTGCTTTGAACATTTCGTTCTATACGTTAGTCTTTTCAAAGGCCACGATTTGCGTTAGAAACTGATTACCGTTTGATCCAGTGGTTCGCTTTTCAGATAATGCCGATTAAATGCGTATATGGAGCAACGGTGGCCAAGGAGAGCATCAGCGCTACATCAAGGATTGTCTTATATTACCTGCCTCAAGACTCTGAGTCTTGAACAGGGCAGGATAAGGTTGAAAAGTGCAGCGCATCTCGGACCTCGGAGTGGCGATAACGCTTTTTATGCCAAGCGGAAAACCGTCATCGCCATGGGCGTGGTCTATGCCCTTAAGCAAGGAGATATCATCCACGGAGTTTGAAGATGAGATGATCGTTTTGTAGTGCCTTGTCAAATTATAAGAATAAATGCATTAAGGTAGTTGAAAGTAAGTAAGTTTGAGTATAAGTAACTTGATGTAGCTTGCAGTATGTTAAGTAAGAAAAGGACATTCCTTGTTCTAAAATATGTTTCGGCTGTCGTCCCTGAGATCGAGGATGCCGGCTGTCAAAAAGGAAGTGAAGCATCAACTGTCCATTCCGTGCCAGAAGTGGTGATATAAATATCATCTGGTCTTATGAGTGGTTAACTACTTTTATCTTCTTCAAAATCATTCACGATCAACGCTGTCCAGCATACGGCACAGGGCGGAAAATTTATCGCTGGCTCAAGTGAACTCCAAATAACACTCATAACTGACCAGAAAACATCAAATAACAAACAGAGATTTAATAGCATTTTATTGATTTCGCAAATGCCATTCGAATGAATATAATTTCCATAGACAATTATATTTTACAACTAGCTGGCTTACCCGGCTCCGCCCGGCCCTGGCAAAACACTATGATAAAGCTTCAACCGTATTTCTGTACAACCTTTTACTGTGCCCACGTCCAAATGCCAATTCACTATTCCCGCTGTTTTAGTAATCAGCATGCTCGATTACCACCCTGTACCAACGGTTTACTTTTCCGCATGAATCACTAGCTTCTAGGTGCTGATTGGTCCCCAAGACGTGTGTGCTGCATTCCGCGTAACCTCCATGGGCTCGCCGCTTCCTCCTTAGGAACGCTGTTATTACATTTGTTACATTGGATAACCTATGTTAACAATGCAAGTAAACGACAAAAGAATACCATGGAAAAAACAACATACAAATCACATCTTATACACACCCTTTCTCGCAGGCCTACTAATATATGGGCTGTGTCCTAGCGCTTTCCTTAGGTATAGGACATTCATAAAATCGTGACCATGGCGGCGTCTGCTGCGTCGCGTATGCATTTTCGGCAACGGCATTTTCTTAGCTTCCGTCCTGCTCAAATTGTTCTTATGCTTGCATATGGTGAGCAGTGCACAAAAGTAATGCGTTTTGTTTGAGTGTTTCATGCTTCTTGTAACGTTTGGGGACCGGAGAGGGAGGAGGGTGGGCAAAGACCGCAGGCGAATTCGCTGTCACAATTTTATGAAGCGCCTATAACGGAAGTGTGCCAAGATAAACGATAGCTGAATAAGCATACGGTACCCGAGCAACATGTTGTCAATATGCCGCACATGTAGTCGTCCTTTTTGAAGCGACACTTTCATTGTTGAACATTTGAAACGTTATCATTGTACATGTGGCTACCATTTACATTTTTGCAAACGTTGACTCTTGAGGGGATGGATGGCTTGCAAGCGGAGGTATCACACCACGTTCCCCACTTACATGGAACGAAAACTCATCAAATAGAAACCAACAATTCACAGATTTGTTTGTCACAAAAAACAAATGTGATAGGAAATGAGTTCGGGTATATAAGACAGCATCCTACCTTCGAGGGCGCGGCTGCCGTCACGCCCCGTTTTTTTTTTGGGGGTTATGAGCCCGCAGAGCTTTCGCCCCTGGAACTCGTGGACGCAGCTACCGACGACGTCTAAGGCCCGTATGCACGTACATCCCCGCGGGGAAGGGAAGGGATCTGAGAGGGGAAGCGTCATATCTCGCTAGTCTACATATCTTTCTCCTTCTTTCTCTATCTTGCTTTTGAATTTTCTCATACACTAATACCTGCGCATAACGGATGCCAAGCTACTGCCATACAAGATTAGATATTCAGTATTTCTTCTGATCCCCTGGGGATCCCCAGGGGATCACCTCACATTTTCAAAGTCATTTATCTTCCTGAAAACGGAATGAAAACGCTGCAAAACTGTACGGAAGATATACTACGATACTGCTGAACATGTTTTCGACAGAAGAAACGGAATCTGAAGATTTTGATTTTTTCGATGATCCCTGGCTCGCGAGCAGCGGTTCACGAAGATTTTGATATCTTGAGATTTCACTCATTTCTACCATAAACATGTTTAGCAGCGCTGTAGTATATCCTCAGTACAATTTTAGAGAATTTGCATTGATTTACAAGAAGATAAATGACTTTGAAAATGTGAGGTGATCCCCTGGGGATCCCCAGGGGATCAGAAGAAATACTGAATATCTAATCTTGTATGGCAGTAACCTGGCATCCGTTATGCGCAGGTATCAGTGTATGAGAACCTTCAAAAGC